AATGAGGAAATTATTTAACAACAGAAATAACATGGAATTCAAAATGGCATTCAAAAACAGAACTGTCCTGCAACAGAATAATAGACTGAGAACTGGTTACATGAGTTTCAACGTGACTCGGTACAGACACAGATTTAAACGGCATTAAGGAAAGAAACACTTGCGTCATTATTCGTTCATACGTATATAGATTTGACTGAGACTTTTTATATTTATTTAACATTTCATTTCACTTTGAGTTTTTTGACCATTTCATAGTTGAATATTCATTGACATTCCGTGGGAGATGTGCTTCATTGTATATCAAATAACCACAACTTCAACATATAAAGTAACTGTTTTATCAGATAAGGAAATGAGTTTGAAGACATGAGTGAGAGCAGTTTTGTGTTTTAGCCGTAGAAAAAATATATTATTATAGATATGCATTCCACAGAACACCTTCTTTTGTTAGGTCAACACTGTCAGTAGCATTGTTCAAATGCTATTCGCATATTATTATACAGGATGAGTCATAACTATTGGGATATAGGAGACCAAAATATAGCGAGGGCGTTTCAATCGAGAAATTATATTGACTATAAACTCGCACTAAAATCTATTCACTGACAAGAAATGTGATTCACCAGCAACCTTCATCTGACAGTCCAAAGCACACTCTTCATGAAATAAATAATAAGTATTTGAAATCCCCTTCCGAAATTTTGAACTGTTCAATTCAAACACGAGTACTAATATCACGTAGAAATGATGTTCGTGTCATATTTTCTAATCAAGATTACTGAAACGTTCCGTTAAAAAAGTTACTTGTCCACTGCATCATCAAGAATCATTCACGTGGCACCCTGTAATAAATAGTAGAATAATAGGTACACAAAATAATATTCCTTGTTTAAATGTATCATGCCTTTGTGCCGATTTCGAAAACAATTGATAAATATACAGTCAAATTTTTAGCAGAAAAGGGAAAAATAGTTCAGTATGTTCCTACACAGCAATATTTTATTAAGCCATATTTGTTCCAATCGCCATATTTTGGTACAAACAATCCGCCCTGAGCCTATGTCCCAACAGTTATGACTCACCCTGTATGTTGTTTTGTTCGGTTGGGAAAGTTGACAATATTGATTATAATGAGATCAAATTTATCTTATTGATTATCGATAGCAATTGGAAAGTACAAGTTGTTTGTTATACCTTATACTGATATTTGCTGTTTCGGACTTTCTAGGTTATCTGCCATAATAGTAGCAGCTCATCTAGGATCTTGTCAGTTGTATAGTTCACAGCTCTACTTTGAGAAAGTGAGCCAAGTTTATTTTTTGATGTTTATGGGTCAAGTGGAATCCAGTACTGTTTTTTGCAGCATTGAAATTTGATGATTGTATCAAATCTGAAAATAACTTTCCACCGAATTTTAGGCATTTAAAAAAAAGTCATGGAAACCATCTATACTCGAAGTGATCCGGTATTTTTCAAAAGAAAAAACTCAGTAAACTGAAGTCGGTTGACCACAAAAATGTCTAATAACTCAACATGTTACTATAGTTTCGGCACCTGGGCCATCTTGAGACACAATAAAAAAGAACCTAGAATTACAAAAGATCTTGAACCAACAATATGGTTGCTGCATCAGGTCACATAATATAAGAATCAGTCCAGCCCAAAACTAACTCTATTTGAAACGACTGAAAAGCCAAAAGAACTTCTCCAAAACAATATAGGTTCAACATCGGGAGAAAGATTCAAACTTAATAATCTACTCAAACGAGCTCCATCTATGGTAAATCATCAAGAGGAAAGACAGAGCTGACTGAAAGAAGCAAAATTGGAAATGGTGACTTGACTTTTGACATGATACTATCGACTATTAAAAATATCAAACTCAGAAGGACGATTTAAAATACAATCATTCTCATTTCCATTCTGAGTTTGCGATTGTCAATAGTCGATAGTCAAATGTCAAGTCACCATTGCCAATTTTGCTTCTCTCAATCAGCTATGTGTCTCCTTTTGATGATTGACCAAAAATGAAGTTCGTTTGAGTAGATTTTCAAACAAGTTTTCGCCGATGTTGAACCTATATAGTTTTAGCGAGGTCCTTTTAGCTTGTCAGTCGTTTCAAATACAGTTAGTTTCAGGCTGGTAGGTATATGATTTTCATATTATGTGATGATGCTAATAAGAGCTATATATGTATATTACATTCTCAGCAACCATATCGTTAGTTTGAGATCTTTTGTAATTCTAGGTACTTTTTTATTGTGTCTGAAGATGGCCGTGGTGCCGAAACTATAGTAACCAGTTGATGTTTTGTGGTCGACCGACTTTGAGTTTATTGCGCTTTTACTTTGAATTTATTTCTTCTTCAAATTTACGTAGGTACACCCAGTTTTGTGAGAGTTGGAGGAAAATCCACAATTTTATTGGCCCATATTGCATGCTTGAAAAATAAATGGAGACTCAAAAGATTCGATGAATAACATAATCTTATTTGGAAAAACTATAAGAATTCGGTCTCTTGCATTCTTTTATACAACAAACCGTTTCACAGAAAGTCGTAATCGACGAATAGGGGGATTCTCAATATCAGACAAAACTTAGTAGGCTGCGATTCCTAATTTTTTTATCGCTTGGAGCGCACCAAAGGGAATCCCTATAATGTTCAAAGAACATCGTGCGTTCCTAGGGAGGATAGGGATAGGAGGTAGGTATTGGAATCTTTTATATTATATGTTGTAGGGAATACTTCCTCAGGCAATGAATTCCAGAGCCTAGCCGTTCTATGGATGAAGGAGTTTTGATAAAGTGCTGTTCGACATCTTTCGAGGATGACAACGAAAGGATGTGCTGACTGGGCTTGTCTAGTTCGTCTGACTGGTATTGCTGGTGAAGGGAAGATAGCAGTGATCTCCGAAGCACATTTCCCGTGGAAGTATCGATAGAAAAGTGAAAGGTCGCCGACCTTTTTACGGTGTTCCAATGATTTCAAAGAGTGAGTGAGTGTGGCGTCACCCACCAGGCGGATGGCTCTTCTCTGGATGGAATCTAAGAACAGCAACGTATGTTTTGGTGCTGAACCCCATATGTGGGAACAGTATTCTAGAACAGGCCGTATCTGCGCTTTGTAGATCATAAGAAGCTGTTGAGGTGTAAAGTAGCTTTTCGCACGGAACAAGAATCCAAGTTTTTGTGAAGCAGCTTTTGCGATGGATCTGACATGATAATCCCATGAAAGAGTATTGCTGATGGAAATACCGAGCATAGATATGGTCGGCTTGGTGGAGATGGTGATGATAGACATTACAATGTCCGCCTTTCTAGAGAAAATACAGGCTTGAGTTTTGGTGGCGTTGAATTCAACTAGGTTGTTGGTTCCCCAGGCTGTGATTTCAGTTGCTATCATTGTTAATACTTATTGGTAGTTGTCAGTTTTGTGCTGGTTGGTTATACTCTTGTTAGTGGGGCCGTGCTGGGGCCAAGAAATTGGTTTTTGGTTGAAAATGGCAAATGTTCCATTATCTTTCGCGCACCTTGATCTGACATTCACTTTGTTCGTATTCTTTTTTTTATGTTCTGGTTCCCACGAAAAGGGATACCCTGTAATGTTCAGAGAACATCGTGAGAACCAAGGGAAATAAGGTAGGAATTGGTATTCTTCTTGAATTTCTGGAGGTTATATGCCTCGGGAAACACCTCCCTTGGCGAGTCTTTGGAAAGAGATACAGGTCTCCAAAGTCACCACGAACGGTTGCGAAGCCTCAACTCGACGGGTTAATTTCGCGGGGACTGCCAAGGAAGGAACAATTGTTGATATTTCAGAAGAGCATCGTCCATGAAAATATCTATAAAATAGAGCCAGATCGACAAATTTTTTACGGTGTTTCAAAGAAGTGAGTGAGTTTGTGAGCGAGACACAAGACGAATTGTCCTTTTTTGGACAGAATCCAGCAGTTTCAGGGTATGTTTGGGTGCTGCACTCCGAATATGGAAACATTATTCCAGGATAGGTCGGATCTGTGCCTTATAGATCATAAGCAGCTGACTGGAAGTGAAATAGCTCCTGGCCCGAAACAGAAAACCAAGGTTTGGTTGTAACACATTGGAAGCCCAAAGGTTATACGGGATTAGATTTCCTCACACCGAATCCCCGATCATCGTATATTTACAATTTATCATCGTCATCCCTGTAAATACGGCAAATTCCAGACTGTAAGAAACAATTATTACAGGCAGACCACGAAAAATTCGACTCTCTGGGTGTTTCCCAATCAACTGTGCGTTATTGCACGAATTCATAACTTGTATCCATATCACATCCAACGTGTTCGAGATTTGCCTCCACACAGGATTTTTTCCACCACTAATAATGGTTATTCACCGCTATTATTCACTGGTGTCAAAATGGTCAGAAATGGTTTTGCTTGAGGAAGTACAACAGTCGTGGACAAATAATTAATTCAACAGGTATCTTCAATTTTTAGTTTTTTTAATGTCAAATAATTATCTACCAAGGAAGCTGCTTTCCAAGACATGCGAAAATTCATCCTGGGATTTTAAAACGTGTTCGACATTCTATGCGAAGAAGAATGGAAGGTTGTATCGCAGCAAGGGGATGACATGTCCAACATTCAAATGTTTTGTTAGTTTAATATTGTAAAAATACCCTACTTTCGTTGATTACGATTTTCTGGCAAACGGATAGTTGTAGGTGGGCTCATGAAAATTGGGCCAATGAAAGTGTGGTTTCCCCTTCAACTCCCCCGAACCCGAAACTGAGTTCACATATTCTCAAGCAGAAACTTGATATAGAGTGACTAAAAGAGATTTGATTCGTTATCATATAGTCAAATTTCAGATAAACTTTTATTACATGAGTTACAGTAGTAATACGTTCTCAATATGTGTTCATCGGATTTTGAATCACCATGTATAATGATGATTCTGACAATTTTTTCTTAAATGGTCCGTTATATCGTAAAGTAAAAATGTCATGATTGTATATATTCCCTTCGACTCATATCGATCAAAAAACCAAACTTGGCTCACCTTATGAATTAGATTACATTAACTACCTCCTCACTAATCAGCGAATGTCTGATTCTAATAAATTTCATGGAAATCAAACGTGTCAAGAATTGATTTCTTGTATCAACATGTTAGCTTTCGTTCGTCTGAAATTCGAAGAGACGAATACTAGAGACAAGGCACACATGACGAAGGCGCATAATATCACAGACAATGTCAACAAATATCCTACTGAATGAGTGAGTCCTTCGATGGCCAAGGTGGATCCTATGGCAAATACGTAAATGGTGGCATTCAAAGCTGAACAACTAGTGGATTCCGGAACTGGGTATGTGACCTCCGAAATGAACTCTATTCCGATGATGTAGATTGGGGCAATGAAAAATCTGAAAGAAAAGGGCGAATAATTCATTTGTTAGCTAACCATCATAAGAACTGTTTTCTACTATCGTGAAATAGTTATTTATTATACAAGGGAAAAAAGTAGCTACGCGTCGGGAGACAACACAACCTGGAGCTAAAATCTAATATTTTTCCCGTGTATAATACACTATTTTTTTCTGTGACAGAAGAAAGGACGAATCAATATTGAGAGATATTACATTATTTCGAAATCTAAAAATTATCGACATGAAATTTCAAGTTTTTAACAGTAGGGACACCGCGTTGTAGGCATCTTTATTATTCATTTGAAGTAATCAAATATCTGATGTCACTTCTGTCAGTCTAATTCTGTGATTTGATTTCAAGAAATTGCGAATTCAGTGGTTATTTAGTATCATACGTAACCGCGAAGTCGAATGGAAGATAAAAGGACTTGCAGTTCTTTCTCGGAGACGGTATTATTGACTCATTTCTCGAAACTAATAGCACAACAAAAGCCAACAACAGTGTATATATATGTGATATATATCCGGGAAAAAAGTACTAATTTATGAAAAGTGACATTTTATAACCTGCCAACAGGGATGAAATGCCAAACTTTTTTCCCGTCACAGAAAAAAAGTTATTTTAATTCTGAAAGTATCGACTGTAATTAAGAAACTAAGAATAAGGGCCACTTTATAAAAAAATTTAAGACTTAAGATTTATCACCACCTAACATCTGAGGCTTATCACTTATGACAGATGGCACATGGAAATATCATTGATTATATTATGAAGCCATTTAAGACTTATGATTTTACATATGAGATTTAAGAAGATGGCCAACATCCAACTTAAGAAGTGCTGATACATGATCATAAATGGAATAAGGAGTGCGCATCCAAAAGTGACATCTAAATTTCGCCATTCAAAAATTATTCAAAATATCTTGGGTTGTTATTCCTGAATATTTGATTTTCTTTTGATAGATAATATGGATAATGAACCGTTCATCAAAAATACACTAAATAATGTGGAAATATAATGGATGTGTCCCTAATAACACAATTATATCCCATGGATATCCTCCGGACGTCCTGTCTGGACATTCAGGACGTCCATAAGACATTCGAATTCGGTACCGTGGACGTCCATTGGATGTCTGTGGGATGCACAAATGTCCCATTTGAGGACCAACTAGGGACGTCCTTGAGGAATGTCCCTGGGACAACCATCGAATACCTAAATACTACAGTATTCCTCATCAAGCACTACGAAGGACATCCTTAGGACATCCGTAGGACAACCTATCAGTAACGCTGAAGGATATCAATTGGATGTCCATAGGATGTCCCAGGGACGTACGAATTATTCTTGAATTTGAATTTTTCTGGGTCCCTCTAAGACCAGATCTTGCATAACTGATGAGGACATCCAGTAAGGTTGATGGTCCGTAGAAGGTCCCCAATAGATCCTGAAAAAATTTCCCAAGGATGTCCAATGGACTTACGTGAAGGACATTGACGGGGAGTATTTATAGCCTACGAGCAATCATTCGTCGGCGAGGTGTAAGTTAACGTCTTCGCAGGGAAAACATATTGAAAGTACCGACTGGGACGTCCGTAGGACGTTATTTCTAAGACATGTTCATGTACCAATTGGGACATCCGACGTATATCCCTAAGGAACATTCGAAGAATCTTCCTAAGGGACATTTCGATTGTTATACAATCCTGGAAATATTAAGGGCGTCTGTGCAGAGATATTTGAAGGAATGTACCATCAGGGACATTCAATGGTTGTCTAGAAGGAAGATTATATAAACGAAAATAAAATGAAGAACAATCATCAAAAAATTGTATTTATAGTATACCTTGTGTTTGTGGAAAGTATTATACAAGTGAAACGAAACGACCTCTCTCAGTTAGGACTAATGAACACAAGTACAATATCAAGAAAAGATATATCGATAAATCGAAGCTAACTGAACATATCCTTACTGAAGATGGGAAACATACGGCAGAGTGGAATAGTATCAAAATCATAGGAAAGGAAGATAACCAAAAAAGAAAAATCAAGGAATCTGCTTGCATTCTTCTGAACGGAGACAATATTGCTTCTTGTTCAGTTGATATAGATAGAACATGGTATTCACAACTGAAAACTGAACATGAAAATGGTAGATTCAAGATCAATTATTGAAAACAACCTGTAACTCATTTGTAGACTAAAATCATCATTCATATGCTAACATCAGTATGACACTGAAAACTGTCAAACTATAAGCAGTACAACTTCCAAAGAGAAATATTTTGCATTTTCATGTTGAGAACGGGAGCAGATTCGGTCCCGAAACGTCCAAAGATAAGTAAAGATTCGATATTTTTTCAATATATCTATATTTCTTTCCTTCAAACATTTTTTCAAACAAATTGTCACTGACAAGCTACTGGATTTTTCTTTTAGGCTCCCTGATAAGAAAATTTGTTAAACGCAGTGACATTTTGGGGCAAATAATCTGATTTGTCCCACTACAAATATATTGAAATAATACCAATATTTTTATTTTATAGAAACGAGGAGAGAAAATCCCAAAAAATCAAGTAAAATGAATATACCACCTCCTCGATTAACCTACAGGCAGTATAGTTCTGTTTATAGTCAAAATTATTCACAGGTGAAATTATTGACAGACACTGTGAACAGTTTCACCAATAATTTAGCTTTTGATGAACATGGAATTGAACGGTTGACTGTGGTAAAATATTATATTTTATCATCCCATTCCCATATAGAAATAGGTAACTGAATACACCCTGTGAATACACCTGATTTAGTTTCAAAATTTTCACTGATACAGAACGAGAATTGAAAGTTATGAAGTTGTGAGGAAGAATTCCAAACATGATTATTGTGAAATTACCACGTTTTTTAATTGATCCATTTACTTACTCGAATAAAGGTAGTGTGATGAATGTAGCAGTTCTGCATCTCACATAGAGTGAATAAACCTCAAAAACGAAACACAAGCAAGCCAGTGAGAATACTGCTAGACTCAGTCGCCTGTAAATAAATAATAGTTTCAATTATACCAGTAGAAATCACCAATTTCAGTCATTCTTACTTGAATTGATGAGTTTTATCCAAAAGATAACCAAAGAGAATACTGCCTATGCAACCTCCTGATATAATTGATAAAATCGTCGTGATGCCCAGATCAAATTCTCCATTCTGAAAGTGAACATAGTATTTTAATTTTGATAATTAGCCACATATTACGCATAATAATAAATATTATCTTTTGGAATAAATGAAGTATATACACCGTGACCAATCCAAATGCACCTATACATACATACGATAGAACTCACATATACGGATTGTTTGCCAAATCTATTTCCTTCATTTTTTTAAAGTCATTAATATTGCTTCTGGATATCGCCATGATCGGACAATTACAATTACCTACTACCAATATGTAATTGTAATGTCATTACGACACTGATTTTAGTGACGTAATGAGATACTTTACCGCACTAGCGCGGAAAAATGTTTCTTTACCGCACTAGTGCGTTAAAGTGAAAAAAATATAATTTCAAATTTTATTGTTACTCAAAAAAAGAATAAGAACCAATTTATCATGAATATAGCAGGTACTGAAGTTTCGATAGCTGCATTCGCCGCAATTTCTATATCGGAATCTGAACTTTCCTGATCCGAATTCAAGTCGTCGAATTCTTTTTCGAATTGAAATTAACGCTTCAAAGTTGACAGATCACCGAATGAGTGACAACCGAGAACACAATAGATTCACGACAACCATACGCCCAACCCTTGCAACGCTTGCTTGTTACATATTTCTAATGAATTGTCATTTCAAGAAATAATATTGAACATTTTTGATTAAATAATTAGCTTTTTGGTAGTAGGTAAAATATTGTACTATATTCGTACCGATGGGTTATCAAACTCGGCCATCGGCCTCGTTTGACAATCTCATATCGTAATATGAGTCTTTACGATACTCGTTTCGTAAATGTCTATAGTTTCTACAAGCGTGCGTGATTTACCCTATACCCGCACGCAATTCAGTTTGGAAAGTGTCATTTTCCCGCAACAGTGCGGGAAAAACAAAGATATGATGATGTCGCAAAATATAAGTGGTAGGTGATGGAATATGAGAGTTTGAGTTTGTTTGTTGCAGTAATAAGTATGTATGTTCAGAATCATCCATCAAATTGCACTATTCATTGTGAGAATCAAGAAATATTGAAAGATAAAAATTGATCATTACAAAAATCCCCCTATAGATTTGGATTGATCTGATGGGAAACGATTATTGTTGTCATGCCAATCAAACCTCAAATGAGTTTATAATTATTGTTGAAGTGACAGACACAGCGGTAGTGTCATTTTTGATTCAGTATAATTGCCACAATGTGATCAAAAACTTCCAGCTATACTAGCTATAGGAATGCGATACAGATGCTATAAACGAAGTCTTAAGAAAGGTATGAGAAGCTATACACGCGTTTCATTGAATGGTGCAACAATAAAGAAATGAAAATACCGAATAAAGAAGAAGTATTTTTGGTTCATTTCCTAGAAGTGTCTGAGACCTAGAGACCAAACACCTTATGGGCCTGCTGGCTTCCGCAATGAACCTATACATACTGCGTCAAACTGTAAGTTCACAATAGCTATTACTAATAATCAGTAGATATATTCCTCTTGTTAGTTGTTCCTATATGAATGAATAATTAATTGAACAAATCAATCAATTTCCTACGCTTGTAGAAAAAATATTGTTCCTAACTCATGCGGAAAGTGTCTTTCCCGCACTCGACTGCTTGCCCGAACTTCGCTTCGCGTCGTTCGTGTCAACGGCAGTCGCGTGCGGGAAAAAATCACTTTCCGCACTTGTTAGGAAAATTACTAATTTATTACTTACAGGAAAATACTCGATGTAAATGGTATTGAAAACCACTCCAAGACTGTTGTATATACCATAACTCATTCCAACTGCGAACAAAAGAAATAAAAAGTCGTTGTTCCTACATAGTTTTCTGCTGGCGTTCGATAAAGATGGTTGGTACTCTGAGATCAGCTTCAATTGCGATTTGCTAGGAGGGTAATCTGGTTTTGCCTTAAAAACTGAAAGGAAAAAAAGATCAAATCATTTTAATGTTCAAATATATTGAAGAAGAAGCTCAGGTATATATAGTATCCTCCCGGAATGACATATATTATTACAAATTATTAGTACAATCTACTTTATTCACTATAAAAGCAATATCACTTGAGTATTATACTTGTGATTTCTGCAATATAATATATAGGGTTATCAAAAAAAAAACGGAATTTTGTTTTTGTCTGACAACTTTTTCATTTATTGGCCAATTTTATTGATTTTGGCCTTGTTCGAAAGAGAATTGATCAAGGCAGTCCGTTGATAGCAAATTTTTCATATTCGTTCAAAAAACAAAATGGCGGAGTCACCTAAACTTGGTACAATTTGAAAACTTGCTGGAACTTTTTTAAGTCGCACTGTATATCGTTTCGTGTGAGAATCTGGAATTTTGGACATTTCTGAATAGAACAAGATGTCGAAAATGATAATCCGTCGAAAAATACCTGATATATGACAAGATATAGACATGTATGTTTTCACATTTTGTTACCAATTTTTCATTGAAATCGAGGCGGCGTATGTCAATCATCGCTTTTTGTGTTGTTGATTCTTGTTATTTGTAATTATTGACAGCTCTTGAATTGACTTTTTGAGATAGAAATCACTTCATTTTTGCTTTCTAAAGTGTATATAATGGCGCTATCCAATGACGATAAAATTTTTATCAAAACTTTAATTTTGAGAGGATACAGAGTGAGTGATATTTTGCAACATTTTGCTGTCGAGCGGTATAAAAAAAGTACAATTTACGATTCCGTAAAGAAATTTAACTTAACACACTCCATTGCAAGACGCGAAGGAAGTGGGCGGCCAACACAGGTTGGTAAGCTAGGTGCTATCATTGTATGTCTTATGATCTACCAAAACTCATTTCAGGAAAATATTGCCCAAGAATTGAATTTGGCTGTGAGTCCCGAAAGGGCGCCTAGGACCAGCTTTAGCGTTCCGCAAATTTCCAGAAGATCTGGAATTTCGCGTAGCTCTGTGAACAGGATAATAAAGATTGTTATATCCTGTCATATATCAGGTATTTTTCGACGGATTATCATGTTCGACATCTTGTTCTATTCAGAAATGTCCAAACTTCCAGATTCTTACACGAAACGATATACAGTGCGACTTAAAAAAGTTCCAGCAAGTTTTCAAATTGTACCAAGTTTAGGTAACTCGACCATTTTGTTTTTTGAACGAATATGAAAAATTTGCTATCAGCGGACTGCCTTGATCAATTCTCTCTCGAACAAGACCAAAATCAATCAAATCGGCCAATAAATGAAAAAGTTATCAGACATAAACAAAATTCCGTTTTTTTTTGACAACCCTATATATTTATCATTACCGCATAGAAATCAATGAGGAGGGGTCGTTAGTTCTCATTCCCTCTTGCACTCACTCCATTATATTCACCAACGGAATAATATACAGAGAGGTGCACAAAAAACGGCCAGTGCTCTAACTTCTGAATCATTCGAGATCGGATTTTGAAAATTGGTGGCTAGTAAGTATACCAAATGGCTCATTAATTGAAAGAACAATTTTTGTCCAATCACTTCTGGTTTCACCGGAAATGACCCCAAGCTTTCGATTTTTAAATGGAACACCCTGGTATTTCATTCCATAATTAGTTAGGGATTAATATTATAAATTCAACGATACCGGGTTCGATGAGGTTATTTCAAAATCGAAACTTATATATCTTTGTCATCGTTGACTTCGTTATGATAATCTCTAACCGATTATGGAATAAAATACAGGGTGTCCCTTTGAAAATCAGAAGTTATTGCAAATAATCAAAATAATGCTTCACTATCGCATTTTCGATTGAAATAGTTTAGTACAGGGTATCCCACATAAGATGGGCCACCTCCGTATCTGGTAAACTAGAATAGATACACAAAAAATTGAGAATCGAAGTTGTTTATAGTCATATGAACTTCCTTTTCCAGATAATATGAAATATACAGGAATATCCATGTGCCTGTGATATACCAAACAAATGGAAATGGAAAGCAAATGGAATACCTTAAATTTCATTCCGTCCGTTTACCCAATGATGTTATCAATTTTGCCTAGGCAGAAAAACTTTGTTGCTATGCAACGTTCCAAGTAATTTTGAATCAAATTGGTAATCAATATTGACAATGACTCTGGGTGACCACAAAATAATGAATTATTTGGACTTTGCGTGAAATAGATATAAATTTGAAGAAAAAAGTTTATGCTTCACATGAGAGAAAAAAGGTTTAATGCCTTGGTTGGTTTAAACGCCAGTTTTGGTATTAAATCTTCTTTTCCCCATGTGAAGCATATAATCTTTCACTTTTCCGACTTGTAAAACAAATAACTATTTTATATTCCGCCAGGCCAAGTAGAAAATTATGTTTTATTTATTATTTATTGGTTGAAAAAAGATAGTGAATGCAGCAATCACCTATGGCTATTAATACATGACCGTTGCTTTAAATATTATTTTTCACTCGAAACTCTATTACCAGTATTTACACTGAATACAGTACTATTATTTGGAATACTTTCAGGAAGTTCCTGGCTCAGCAGATCGAAAGTGAAAAGACTTCTCTGACAGTACAAAATCAACTATCAGTTATCATTGGATTCGGATAATTACGAAGATTCCAAAAATTCAATAATTTTTATACAGACAGGATATCCCATTCTTTGAAATCATTGGAACACCGTAAAAAAGTAGGCGACCTTTCACATTTCTATAAGATACATCCACGGTTGATGTTCTTCAGAAATCTCTGCTATGAATCTATCACTATAGCAATACCAGTCAGACGAACTCGACAAGCCCAGTCAGCACATCTTCGTCGTCAAACTTGAGGTATGCCTACAAATCTTCAGTGAAACTCGTTTGTCTATTGAACGGCGAAAGATTGAAATCATTTGCCAAACGAAGTATTTCCAGAAGTTCAAAAAAAAGTCCAATAATTACCTCCTCTCCCCCTCTCTAGGTACGCATGATATTCTCCGAAAATTATATAGGGATTCCGGAAGTTCACTTTTTTCAAAAATTGTCGTCTAGCGGTGAGAAAACAAGGAAGGAATAGAGCTGTCCCATCCACGAAATGTTAAAAAATGACTTCATCGGGCCATCAATATAATTAATTGGCGATATCTTGGTATAACCTCCATTGTCTAGTTATGTAATAGACACATAATGAATGCTTATAAGTATCACAAACACCACAGTATAATATTGTAATGATATTCCCCTTGAAGGGGCTTTAGAAACATCAGCAGGAAGGCAGGAGTACAACGATCATCCTGTATCACGCATCCCAGATTGCTCTCCTACCTCCCAATGATTCCTACATGCACTAGCATATCTCCGAACACTCAATATATGCCGCGGTGACAGATAACATCACAGAAGATTCTGGAATGTTCTGGAAACAATCGATGGAACAATTAGAGAGAGAGGTTTGTTCTAAGAAGCTTCTACAGTGTGTCCACCTTAAGGACTTACCACCCCTGTGAAATCGTTATTATCCGACCAATTTCAAAAAACCTTCTTTTGTTGGATAGGTATTTGAAATGCCCATCCAACGAGAGAGTGATCTAATTCTTGGACTGTTATCGTGGCCAACTGCGACAAATTTCAATGACCCATATTCCAGAAAGTACTATCAGGGATTTTTTTCCACGAAACTTGATGATGGATTCTGAATCAGTACCACTTGAAATGTACCTGTACCGATTTTCATCATCATATAACACATGGTGTCCGAATGAAGGAATCATCATTTTCTTCTAATAGGTGATCAGCAAATGTAGTTCTGTGGTTTTTCTAGGAAAAAATAATCACAAATCATCATTGAGGATTATTTCAAATATACCTGTAACAATTTTTGTCATTCGAATATACAATGTGTCTGAGAAAAAAATTAAGAAGGATAGGTAAGCAATATTTTTCATCCTGATAATTCTTCACTCAAAATAAAAATATGAATCAAGATCACTTGGAACATACCTGTACCATTGAACACAGGGTGTTCGAAAAATCAAATTAATATATTTTTTGAGTTGATGGAAAAATATAACTTTTTCTTTTTAATTGTTTTCTCATACACATCGTATTTTTGAATGATGAAAATCGGTACAGATATGTTCAAAGTGATCCTCAATAATAATGTGTCATCAATTCTTCTCAAAAATACCACGATACTACATTTTCTGATCACCTATATAAAAAAAAACATAATTCGTTTTCTCGGACACCCTGTGTTTTATGATGATGAAAAACAGAAAAAGTGTTTTTCAAGTGATCCCTAATCCCTAATAGTACTTCCTCAAATATGTGTCAATAAAGTTGGTCGCAGTTGACCACGATTACAGTTCATGAGTAAACTCACTCTCTTATTGGATGGACATTTCAAATACCTATCCAACAAGAAAAACATTTTTGAAATTGGTCAGATAATAACAATTCCACAGGGGTGGTAAGTCCTTAAGGTGGACACACTGTATATAGAACAAAAAGAAGGAGACGGAAGATCATTTCGAGAAGGTTCTCGAACCAAAGCCTGCCTGTGTTCTCATATATAAAACGGCCGAACAACTGAGTTAGTTAGTTAAGCAGCGAGTGTCAGAGAGACAGTTATATACCGCGTGATATAAATCGTTTTACATAAATAGTAGTTATAAGTTCGATATAAATTAGTGTTTCTTCAGTTAAAATAAATCAGTTCGAAAATAAATAGTGTCGTGTTCGCTTCTGCACCCGAATAACGTAACAATTGGTGTCAGAAGAGGGATATTCCAGTGTGAAGTGGACAGACCGTCGTTATGAAGAAATTACACGAGTTGAGAGTGGTGGACTTGAAACGCGAGTTGGAGGAGAGAGATCTCGACACAACAGGGATCAAGGCTACACTTCAGCATCGTCTCATAGAGTATATGGTGAGCGTAGGTCAAGATCCAGAGACGTTCACCTTCGAGGAACCAGCTTCAGCAGAATCGATGTTGGCTGGGATCTCGGCACAGATTTCTGCTCAGCAAGATCAGATCGCCTCTCAGATCTCAGCTCAACGGCAGGAGGAATTGGCTCAGATGACAGCTCAAGTCGCGACTCAGATAGAAGATCTGAAGAAAGAACTGCAGCTCGAAATAGATGAACTGAAGTCACAATCTCGCAGGAGAGCTGCGATGAAAGAGTCAGTGGTTACTACCAATCGAGTGAAGCCGCCTGCATTCGATGGAAAAACATCGTGGCCAAACTACCTGAAGCAATTCGAAGCAGCTTCCAAAGCCAATGGGTGGACATCAGAAGACAAAGTGGTAGCTCTCACAGTAGCTCTACGGGGTGATGCACTAAACATCTTGCAAGCCATTCCGGAAGATAAATCCGATAACTACGATTATCTCATCGAACGCCTCAACATGCGCTATGGTCAAAAACATCTACAGCAAGTGTTACGATCAAAAATGAAGAACCGTCGACAGGGAGACAATGAGAGCCTACAGGAATTTGAAATGGAAGTAGCTCGGTTGGTTCGGTGTGCCTACCCATCAGCTCCTGAGTATCTGATAGACTGCCTTGCTGTCCAAACGTTCCTGGATGGATTGCGAGATATGAAAATGCGGAAAGCGGTTCGGTTGACCTAAAGACTCTCCCACTGCTCTGGCAGCTGCGTTAGAAATCGAGGCCGCGATAGAAGCTACACGAGAAGCAACAAAATTCCAAGCCGTCGATGACAGCACGAACATAGCGGACAGTCCCAGGCAAGATCTAACTGAAGACCTTATGAACGTCATCAAGGGCCTCTTGGATGAGGAGAAGAAACCAGTTCGAGCAGCAGCAGGAAAACTAGAGTAGGATGATCCAAAAAGACCAGTTTATCGAGTGGGGACGAGCCATAAGAATGCAGATGCATTGTCCAGAAGGCCATGTCTACCTGAGTGCTCACATTGTAGTCGTTTGGAGGATAAAGAAGCAGCCCTCTACAGAACCACCGTTGTCAATGAAGATTGGTTACCTGCAGCAATCAAGCAAGAGCAAGAAAAGGACCCAGAACTTCGCAAGCTTCGAGAATGGAAGAAAGCGAATCGTCGTCCTTCTTGGCAAGAAGTAGCACCATCTTCACAGACTTTGAAGGCGTACTGGAGTCAGTGGGACTCCTTGGTATTAGAAGATGACCTGCTCAAGAGGAATCTCGAGAGCGATGATGGGTCGGATAATCGGATGCAGTTGGTCATTCCTAGAAGCCGAGTGTCGGAAGTACTTGGATATGTACATGATAGAACTTCAGGGGGACATCTAGGAGTGAGGAAGACACTGCAGCGGGTACGAGAGCGGTTCTACTGGGTGAACTGCAGTGACGACGTCAGGGAGTGGTGCCGTAAATGTACCGTGTGCTTTGCCAGCAATGGGCCTCATCGTAAACCAAGGGCACCCATGAGGCAGTACAATGTTGGAAGCCCTTTCGAGAGGATTGCCATGAATATTGCGGGGCCGTGTCCAGTGACTGATAATGGAAATAAATACATCCTTGTGTGCATGGACTACTTCACCAAGTGGGTGGAAGCGTATGCGATCCCTAACCAGGAAGCCGTAACTGTCGCCGATGTCCTACTGAATCAACTCATCAGTCGTTTTGGGGTGCCATTGGAACTTCACTCTGATCAGGGCCGGAACTTCGAGAGTGAAGTGTTCAAGAAGATGAGTGAGAAGTTAGGAATCAAGAAAACAAGAACAACTCCATTGCATCCACAGTCAGATGGCATGGTGGAGCGAATGAATCGAACCATAGGGAGGTATCTCTGCAAAGTCGTAGATCAACACCAACAAGACTGGGATCAACATATTCCTTTCTTCTTGATGGCCTACAGATCTGCAGTACAGGAATCTACAGGACAGACTCCGGCGAAGGTTCTATTTGGACGAGAGATGAGGCTTCCATGTGACTTGGTCTTCGGATGTAGACCTGGTGAGGACATAGTGGGGGAAGATTACGTCACGAATCTGATGAGAAAGATGAACGATATTCACGAATTGGTTCGATCAAATCTGAAAATCGCCAGCGATCGCATGAAAGACCGATACGACATCAGAGCTGGGGGTGCAGGATACGCAGAAGGAGACCTGGTGTGGTTGTACAATCCACAAAGGAAACGAGGTATTTGTCCAAAACTACAGAGATCTTGGGAAGGACCTTATACCGTCAAGAAGAAGATCAACGATGTCATCTACCGCATCAGTAAAGAACCAAGTGGAAAACCAAGAGTCGTTCATTTCAACAGACTAGCACCATTCGAAGGAACACAAGAGCAACAAGTTCAACAAATTTGTCTGGGAGAAAAGGAGCTTGCATTCGACGCATTCATTGGGACATACAGTGGTTCATCAAAAGCAAGGTTTGGCGTCACCAAGGAAGAGCACCGCGACCTTTTTGCCATTCCTGTAGAATACGCACTAGCTCACTGCGTCGCCGAGGATCTTCAGATGTCTCAAGGAATAGCGAACAAGTTCATGAGGAAGTTCGGGAAGTTAAAGGAGCTTCATCAACAAGGTCCCTCCGTCGGTCGAGCACTAGAAATAGAAGATATCAGCGCTGAAGGAAAAAAGGTCTCTGTTTTATCTTATAACGAAAGGAAGATCTTCTGAGAAACCCACTTACAAGGACCTCTGGGAGACGCTAGTCGACTTGCGAAAACCCATACTCGAGAAGGACATACAGAAGATAGCTGTTCCAAAGCTGGGGTGTGGACTGGATGGCTTGAATTGGAGAGTTGTAAGGAACATGCTGGAGGTTGTATTTAGTTTCACCGGAGTTGAAATTCTGGTATGCTGCTGGAACTACAAGGGAATTCCAAGAGAAAAGACAGTGCCATGCTATTTCTACCATACTGCACGTTGTAAAAATGAAACCAGTTGTCCGTATCTTCATAGTGATCAGAATGCATTCCAGGAGGAATGCGTTTTAAGGAGGGAGCAGTGTAATGATACTCCCCTTGAAGGGGCTTTAGAAACATCAGCAGGAAGGCAGGAGTACAACGATCATCCTGTATCACGCATCCCAGATTGCTCTTCTACCTCCCAATGATTCCTACATGCACTAGCATATCTCCGAACACTCAATATATGCCGCGGTGACAGATAACGTCACAGAAGATTCTGGAATGTTCTGGAAACAATCGATGGAACAATTAGAGAGAGAGGTTTGTTCTAAGAAGCTTCTAGAACAAAAAGAAGGAGACGGAAGATCATTTCGAGAAGGTTCTCGAACCAAAGCCTGCCTGTGTTCTCATATATAAAACGGCCGAACAACTGAGTTAGTTAGTTAAGCAGCGAGTGTCAGAGAAACAGTTATATACCGCGTGATATAAATCGTTTTACATAAATAGTAGTTATAAGTTCGATATAAATTAGTGTTTCTTTAGTTAAAATAAATCAGTTCGAAAATAAATAGTGTCGTGTTCGCTTCTGCACCCGAATAACGTAACAATATCAAACAAATAAATAAATCTGGAATACTACTCACATAATATTACTATAACCAAGACAACACCTGCCACAACCGCATTGAATATCAACATTCGCTGCAAAGAATTTCCTATATCATCGATGGTATCGTCTTTCAGTATAAGAAATGGCGGAAACACTGCTCCTATGGAAACACCTAAAGAAATGAAGTTATTAAACATTACATAGTTTCTTTATACAAAAAAACATACTAGGTACGAATTATTGGAACGGAACGATTCAAATTTTAAACATAGGCTGAATTGGGGAGGTTCGAGTCTCTCATGCTGATGACCTGAATAATGTTGTATCAAACTGATTAATTAAAACTGATGAAATATGGCATAGTTATATTTATTCACCAAGGTAGTGAAGAATATCATTTTTACGCAAGGACCATTTCCTCGTGGTATACATATTTTTAACTACCAATATTACATTTTATATTTAATTCTGCACTAGCAATATATTTTACTCATTATATTCATGTGATACTAAAATATGAATGTTATGAACGGCCAAGAATGTTATTCTATCCTGGGCCGACAACAAAAGACTCGAGTATTTCGGCGTAGTCTACCGGGCCTAGCCCATTCCAAACCATTCATTGCTTGTACAAGGAACAAACAGGACTCTGGCAAACTACTAGAACTTGGTAGAGCACATCTCAGAGTTATGGTAGGTTTGCTCACTGGCCACTGCAAACTCAATCACCACATGCACAAAATCTTACTTGCACAAGATGCAGAGTGCCGTCTATGCATGGTGGATATCCAATATCAGATTGCAGAATATCCCGCACTGTGCGGCGTCGGCGTGTTTGAAGTGACTGCAGCTGCGGCACGAGATTCTGCAATTGTTTTTGGATGAACTATACATGCCCTGCAGCGGCCAGAATCAGATTTTCAACATTTGGCAAAGCAACAGTATTGGGCCAGAAAACCTGATAAATTGTTCTCCCAACGTACTCCTTAATTTCGTCAATAGATTAGATATACTGGGAGAAATATAACCATAGGTTGAGCCACAATAGGCCATTGGCAGCAGTGGAGGGCCTGAGCCCACTCACGTTTAAACCTAACCTAAACCTAAACCTCTAGTGGTCAGCCCTAAACTGGTGGAGAGGCAGTTTTTGCCTCACTCACATGGAACCTAACATAACCTAATGGGTGTATCAAATATAGGTTACGGTATGATCGGAATTTGTTTTTGGTGATGGTGCATGATGTGTAGTGATAAGTAAGTATGAAAATGCTCACGTATACGCGTATACCTAGTGCAGTGAAACCATGTGACGCAGCCATTTGTATTTGTGAAGAAACTATAACTCTAAGCAAAAATAAACATGGATTTCTTACCGACTTGTATACACATAACTGCTATGGCACATGCCGTTGACACTTCGTTGGGTCCAAACCAAGTAGCCGACAGTTTGGAAGGAATACTCGTTACGTAAACTTGACCGAAGGCACATATTCCTTGGCCAATGAGGACAACGAAGAATCTCGATGGATCACAGCAAAATACTTTCACCAAAATACCGATGAATGTGAGAGTTGAACTCACTATGGCTGTGACTCTTAAACTCTGAAAAATAAAAACAAAAATCGTTAGTTCTTGTCAAAAAAAAATTATCACAGGTTATATCTTCATGAGTTAACGCGATCTATACAGGGTATGTCACGACAAGCTCATCTTTATTTCAAGAATTAGTCGGAAGAAATCCATGAAAATGTGCATGCTTATATTCCAGAATACGCTTTCTTCATTTGGAATATTTTCGATGATGCTGTGCTGCCGCTTTTACTATAGAGAATAGTAGCAACATTGATATTTCAAATAGAACACCCTGTATTTTATCGCATTTTCAGATTTTCCCTGAAAAGCTGATTTCATCAATATATGATTGATTGATTTACAGGGTGATCAGAATTCAGAATCTTGAAACACCCCTGTATCTGTTCCGGTTAAATATCAGTAAACAGTGAATCAAAAATTGAGATAGGGACATGTGAGCTGTTTCGACCGACAATGAATAGTTTCGACACAAAAAATCTCAAAGTTGAAAAATCTCGATTTTGAACACCACTCCAAGTGTGATGACTCAATGAAATCAGCTCTGCAGGAAGAATCTAAAAATGCAATAAAATACAGGGTATTCTATTTGAATTAACAAAGTTGTTTTCATGGATTTCTCCCGACTGATTCTTGATATAGAGATAGTGTAAGCTCGTCGTGACATACCCTGTATATGGATAACTAGAAATAGCAAGATTCTGAATATTCTTAGGGTCGGTGAAGAAAATTTCATGGAGAATCCAACTAAAATAGTTTCGTTATTGTGAAGGTACCGGTTCTTCCGGAAATGAGTGAAAAGACGTCATCTTTGTTATTTTCAATGGGACACCCTGTATTTTACAATATTTTTTGATTTCTTGGCATCATTCTGATTCAAATGCATGTTGATATCATACACATAGAATGAACTGTTTTTGGGTTATTCGAGTTCGTCTAGAAAAAGTGGAATGATATGCAGAATTTCAAACATATACGCTATTTTTATTAGAATCGCAATTTTTAGTGATATGCAGTGATCAAATAGTGAATATTGAAGGTTGAACGGACCACCCACCATAATCACAACCACTGAATGACTCACTGGGTGAGCAGAAAAGTGGGTTCAAAAAGTGAATATGAAACATTGAAATTCTAAATTTTTTCAAACGGGAAACCCCCATTTTTTCCCTATACCCAAAACCCATCCCATAGTTTCGGAGATATTCCATAAAGAGTACTGTATTCAGCAATAACTGCATGTTATTTTTGATTTTTTTAGTAGGTTGTGCAAAGAATTATTAGATTTATCATCTGCAAAAGTCCAAAATATGGCTAGTATTCTATTATACCCGACACAGGACATATTGCACTGTTGCAGATGATTGATCTGACAGAAACAACTTCAATTCATTTGTTGACCGATATTTTGCACAGCATACTCGAACATCAAAAATTTCAGGCAGTTATTATGCAGAAATACGTTTTATTTATGGAATATATTTCCGAAATTACGGGTTTTGTGAATCAGAACTAAGGCTCATTTTTATTGTAGGATAATGATTGAATTTTGGGTATAGGAAGAATGAGGTTCCCATTTGAAAATCCGCTTCCGAGGTGTGTGTGCCATACTCACATATTTCTCGATGAGGTAATTGACTGGTAGGAATAATAAAATATATATCACAAAGAATATTGTTCCCGTTGTATGTACAGCTGAGCTACTGACATTATAATACCTGAAAAATAAATTACAAAATGACAATTATTGCACAGATATTTTCGTTGCGAATGACAACTTAGTAGGCGAGGTCTGTATATTAAGAAAACGTATCCAAAAATCGATCTTATCGTCGATATATTCAGTAAGCCAGTGACTTCTATTTCTAATCAAGTTGATTATCTGTTATCTCAAAACTATGGAAAATTTTACGTATTCCTGTGAAGATCCACCTTCCTATATTGATACATTTCAGAGTGTTATTTAAGTATCTGGCCAAACTTCAAGGGGTGATTCTAAGACGAAACGTTCATATAGACATATAGGTCCAGACAGGGCTTTTACTTCAGCCTACTGGGGAACCTGGTCACATTATAAAAATGGGGCCCCTATACAGGCTGATTCACGGTGGATGGCACATTAGACGTTTCTGGTGAACCAGACAACGGATCATTTTGAAAATTTAATGGAGGGCATATTCGGACATTCTCTAGCCAACTAAAATATTTTCGACTATGCGGTGTTGCCGCTTCTATTAGAAAGCAGTAGCAACTTTGATTTTTCAAATAGAACACTCTGTATTTTATTGCATTTTTAGATTCTCCCTGGAGAGCAGATTTCATCGATGTATCACACTTGGGGTCTAGCGGAAATGATTACAGAGATATAGGGTGTGAAAAATCGACATTTTTCAACTTTAGGAATTTTTTTTGTCGAAACTATTCATTATTGGTCAAAACGGCTCACATGTCCCTATCTCAACTTCTGATCAACTATCTACTAACATTTAATTGAAACAAATACAGGGTGGTGCAGAATTCAGAATCTTGATCACCCGGTATATGTCCCAATTAAATATCAGTAGATAGTTAATCAAAAGTTGAGATAGGGCCATGTGAGCCGTTTTGACCAATGGTGAATAGTTTCGACACAAAAAAATCCTAAAGTTGAAAAATGTCGATTTTTCACACCCTATATCTCTGTAATCATTTCCGCTAGACCCCAAGTGTGATACATCGATGAAATCAGCTCTTCAGGGAGAATCTAAAAATGCAATAAAATACAGAGTGTTCCATTTGAAAAATCAAAGTTGCTACTGCTTTCTAATAGAAGCGGCAACACCGCATTGTCGAAAATATTTTAGTTGTTTGGTTCACCAGAAACGTCTAATGTGCCATCCACCGTGAATCAGCCTGTATATGATCTTGACAGAGCACTTTTTTGTTAGCATAGACAAAAAAGTAGATAAGCAACGTTTTTCATGATATTATATAATCCACAAATTAAAAGTGAAGTATTCACATCAGGTTAGTGTATAGTAGAAATATTGATTAAAGAGGTACTATGTTTATGAGCATATCTATGGTTAATCTCTGAAACATTGTAGTTCTCAATTCATTTGTGATTCTTCTGGAGAAGGATCTTAAGAAGATTCTTAATGCAATTTATTCATTTGGAAACTTACAATTTTGTTATCTTTCAAGAGAAGCTTTATTTTCAATATATATATACTGTTAGTTTTTTTATTTTCGCTATATACAATATATTTAAAACCTAACTTGTTATCATGGCAACAATTAGTGCAACCCGACAAACAAAAATTTTATGTGCTTGACAAAAATGTGTTGAGAATAAATCTGAGAGATATTATCGATCCTTCGGGGCCCCCTGAGGATGAGGGGCCCCGAGCACGGGCCACGTGTGCCTTCATCGTAAAGACGGCATTGGGCCCAGAAAAGCTTTGTTTTCAAAATTTCAATTAATAATCGTTTTCATTACTAAATACTCTAAATGCTGTCTCCCAATTTGATGTTAACACTATCAAGAAGCTCCTTTTAGTGTAATTGGATTCGAAATAACGATTCCAATGGCGTCGGAGTGGGTTACCTTTTCGATATTTAAGAAAAATAAGGTACCAACGTCATAGTTTTTTCCAAGTTCGATTATTTTATCATATTGAACAATTGAAGATACAACCTTCTTGTCCCCTATTAAATTTTTGCACATTAGTCAGTTTCTGAGGGAATAATAACAATTTGATTTGTCTCCAAATTTCAATGTAGGTGCCCTCAAATCACTCATTCGAATTACCCAATAACCTCAAGAGTATTATTCTGAAATTTTGAGAATTTTTCAGTCAGCAACCAGTCTAAATTGTGCCATCATGAAAGATTATGAAGGGTAATTATGAAAATCAACAATCAATACTTCCAACTTCACCCTGTATCTTGAGAACGAAGCATTCCAGGACCTACGTTTATATGAATTTTTTGTCTTAGAATCACCCAAATAATCGTTCCTTGGAGTTTGGCATTATGCTGAAGATAGTTTTTTCTATGATTGAAACATGCCCCTGATCGTGTTACAGCGTCATTAAAATTTGTGGAGATGACTGAACATTTCTAGCCTCTCATGGTATAAACACCTCAAACACAAAAATGTGTTTAGTAATTAATTGACCTTGTTCTCTTTCACTCTCTAGTTATTCTTACTACAGCCAAAAAGTTTCCTACTTCAAAGTTATAGTAGATTCCAGACCTCGTCTTCAATCAATGAGAAAGAGAGAGAAAGCAAATCACGATATGTCGCGCCCTCACTTTGACAGGTTGCAACGATTTTCGGTGGTAGGTAATCAATTGTTATTTTACTTTTTTCATCTCATGATATCGTGTATTCAATTGAAATTGATGCAAGTTGTTCGTATTTATCTCCTCTAAGTAATCGCACTCTAGCACTCTACCTATATCAAAAACTATTACGAAAATATGTCTAAAATCTCTTCAATGTGCCAAATTGTAAATGCTCGTGACGTCTGAGAAATATCTTCGAATTAACCAACAGTGGCATAAAGTTTATATGTAGTGGATATGTCATTTAAAAAATAACTGTAGTTACTGATCTATCTTTCAATCACAAGCAGATTAGCGTTGTTTCCTGGTACGACAGACCTTTCAATTTCAAACGAATGCACTTTTCAGTATTAATCATTGCTATTATTTGAATGCAATTATGTTCTGGTCACGACTATGTACCACGCACTGTGGAGCCAAGCGTCAACCAGTGACCACTTCTCAGTTTGCACCTGCTGCAGCTTCCATACGGATTGTCCTCCGAACAGGTTTGAGCTCCATCACATTCACGAGTTCTGACCCCACTGTCCATAATAAAATAACCTGCCCTGAAGAGATACGCTGGCTCTCTGAGCATTTGTAGGAAGGGATGAACCGAATTCCTAACGAACCTACAGGTTGCAAACAGAACCATTTTGTTCTGTTCGTTATCATTATAGGTTGAATTCGAATCAACACGCAGAGTCGAGCTTGATATAAGCCATTGACCACTTCTCTCAGCCCGCGGGGTAAATGATCACTGGGACCAAGTACCATGTGCCCTGAGTAAACACAAAGATCCGAGTATGACGGCCTTCTGCATTCCACCAGTTAGAATGTGTGTCCTATCACGGCATGCTGGAATTTTCTGGATTTCCGAGACCAGCTTATGTCGTGTGCCACCTAGGGAGCCGATAATCAGGATGACCAATTCCACAGAATGATCTGAATAGAGCCAGCGGAGTTTGAGGAGCAGAAGATCTCGATATTTAGTCCGTTTCTCCTTCTCCTTCAAAACGATGTTCGGTTCCGCTGGCTCCGAAAATTCAATCACGAACATCGCTTTAGTTTGATGGTCGAGGAGGACTACATCGAGCTTGTTAGCCTGATGTACTTGCCTGAGGGTGGGGAATTAGCAGTTCCAATAATTTCGGTACCTCTCATTCTACACAACAGACTCAATATCTCCCGGATCATAGGGAGCAATGGGGTCTTGTCTATTCCGTACGAGTGCCTCAAATGATAGTGAAGCCTTCGCAATGCCGCATTGTGTCTATGGATATAGGCCAAGACTGCATTAACCAAGCAATTATTATTAGTATTATTATCAATATTATCATAAAATTCCGAATTCATATCAATTTCAGTCACGACTCCACATCCCCCGGGGTAAGTGATCACTGGCACGAAGTACCATGTGCCCTGAGTAGACGCAACGATCCGAGTTTATATATGATGGCCTTCTGCATTCCACCAGCCAGATGGTGTGCCTTATCACGACATGCTCGATTTTTTTGTATTTCCGAAAGCAGCGTAGGTCGTGTGCCTCCTAGGGAGCCGATGATCAGGATGACCAATTTCACAGAATGGTGTGGATATAGCCTGCGGAGTTTGAAGATCTCGATATTTGGTCCGTTTCTCCTCCTCCTTCAAAACGATGTTCGGTTCGGCTGGTGCCGAAAACTTAAACGCTTTTGTTTGATGGTTGAGGAGGACTACATCAGGTTTGTTAGCGAGGACTCGTCTATTCTGCACGAGTGCCTCAAATGATAGTAGGGCTGTGTCAATAGTCGTTCGTCTGACCATAGTGGTGATACCAAAATGGTTAATGGTTGACGTGACTCCCATTCAGAAGTTAACGTGGTAACTGTGTGGGCAGGTTTGAAACGTGACCGATATTCTCAAACAGCACTCACAATACCGCATTGTGTCTATGGATATAGGTCAAGACTGCATTCACCGTGCAAGAATATAGGTGCAGGTGCATGATAGTCCAGGAGACGGTGAAAGGTGACGTTCTCCCATTTTACACTGCATGCCTTCTTAATCCCAGGTAGAACACTAATATTGGTTGAATATTGAACCAATAATGAGTGAATGTTTCGAACATATTGATTTTGAATATCAGACCAATAAATAAATGTGAACATTCTGGAAATTTGGTGCTATGTTGAATTTAAATCTTGTTTCGATATGCTATATCCAATATCGAGTTTATATTCGTATACAAGATTGGACAAAGATATTATGCCAACTTCTAGAAACCGGTTTCTTATAATTCCCATATGTAAATTCGATATTTAATTTATATTTTCCAGCATTGGTCAGACGAGGTGCGCATGCCGATTTTTTTAGAGTGTTTTTGTTACTGAAACTTCAATTCTTCCCAACGGCATGCAATTTGAAAACACGGAACCTTTTGAGCCCTTTCGGCCGCTGCGGATTGCATGCCATCAATTATTAGCGCTTTATTTCGTTGAAACTTCCGTATATTACAACAACTTGCAGTATAATATCGCGGAAAACACGAAAATTGTTCACAAAGAGGAAATCGCTTTTCTTTATGAAGTGCACCGCCAGGAATCCGTCTATTGTTCATATTCTGGGGTTAATTATAAAGCCTTGAAAAGGCATGCAGTGTAAAATGGGAGAACGTCACATGTCACCATCTCCTGGTCTATGAGTGTTTCGGGCGCCCTGCGGCAGGCCCTGCAATTTGTGTCAGGGACCTCTATACTCATGACACGACATGCCATGATGAACTCCTCTGTTTCCGATGTAAGTCCGCCTGACTTGAGGAAAGCAAAAGTGAGATCTTTGGATAAGCCCCGGTGTTCAATGATGCAGACCAAATGCATGAGCTTATGCTTGTGATGCTGCAGGAGCTTCCTCACTTCTGGAGCTTTAATACGGGCCTTTCTCCGAACGGGCTCTAGCTCAGAGAACCATTTGCAGGAGGAGATCCGAAGAAAGGTATGTATGTATAAACGTGGAACGGACGAATTTGAATGCAAAACTCCTATAGAGATGCATCATCTTCCGAGTACTTGTCGCAGCTCGACTTGAGTCCACTTTATTCTCATTCCAAATGAGTGAAATAGGATCGGAACAGCAAGCATGTTTAGGCGCGGTCCGAGTGGGGGTTACAGGGGTCATAACCCCCCCCCCCCCAAAATCTGCACCACGTACTGTATCTCGGCAGACTCATCGCGATAATCACCAAGGGAACGAAGAGGAATATTACCGAAGAACAGTTTATATTCCATTACTCAACACATAGATACTGGAGTTTTCAAAAATCTCCTCTTGATAACCAAATATTTGATGGAATAAGTTCAGTGATTTCATCGCATTAACAAACATTTAGTGGCAAAAACTCGGCTGTTTTTTTGTTACCACTTTTTATCGTTGATAAACTTCTACAATTAGGCCTTGATAAAAATGATGGCCCAGCAAGCATCAGAACCAAATTCCAGTGGCGTATCATTTCAAGAACCACACTTTCAACTATTAATGTCTCAACTGTCAATTCTAACCAATGGTATGAATGATGTGCGTGCTTTACTTACGGAACAGACAAAAAAGATTGATGGATGCATAGCCAATGTTACCAATTTGAAGCAAGAGAATGATAAACTGCAATCCAAAGTGAAGGATCTTGAAAAAAAACTGGATGGTATGTCTGCCTCTAATATTTATGCAGAATTCGCTGCAAGGAATCTTCGTGAAAAAAATATCATCATCTACGGACTGGATGAATCGTCTGATGATTTGATTAATGTATCTGTGATCTTAACCGAGCTCAACCCTTCAAACACACCTAAACCCTCCAAAGTTACGAGACTGGGTAAACCATCTAGTCAGAAACGCCCTTTGAAAGTCGAATTTTCATGTCGCGAAGAAGCTATTGGAATTTTATCAAAAAAATCCAAACTCTCATTGAAGTCCTTTTCGAATGTGAAAATAAAAAATGATTATACTCCAAAACAAAGAGAGGAGCTTGCAAAGATTTACCAAGAGTTTGATCAGAGGAAAGCTAATGGTGAGAGTCTGAGGATCAAATTCATTTTTGGCCAACCAACAATCGTTCCTGGTTCTTATAAAAGACCCCGCGAAGAAGATGAATCTCCAAACAAGAATGTGACAAAAATAGTCAAACCACGCCCAGAATCTTCAAAAAACTCTTACTGACCTCCTGGAATTGTCATGGACATGCAAATACTGTTAATTTCCTTGAAGAAAACATTTATTTCGATTTGCTTTGCCTTACTGAAACTTGGCTTACTACTGATGTCCCAATTTTTCCTGAATTTTCACCCGACATTAAATGCATTACATCTAACGCAACAAAGGAAAAATCGCTAGGAAGACCAAGTGGAGGCTTATGCATTTACTATAGGGATTATTTTTCTGTAACTACATTATTCAAATCTTTTTATTGTCTGGCTTGTTTATTTTCTACTACTGAATTCAATTTTATTGTTTGTAATATATATTTCAAACCTTCCTTAGAACTGACACATACACTTGATGATTTCCAGATTCTCTTGTCTGACCTCCTTGAAAAATATATTGATACTATGATTATTATTGCTGGAGATTTCAACTGTAGAATCGCAGATATTGATACTGTTCCATCTGAAGTGATTGAAGACTCGAATTTATTCTTAGATCGCTTAAGTCTCGATAAAACACTGAACACGAGAGGACGACAAATAATTGATTTCATGGTCAATAATTCATTTTCTGCAATAAATGGACGTACTGCACTGGATAGACCAGGCAAATATACATACGTGAGTAAATTGGGAAAGAGTGTTGTGGATTTGGTTTGGGTGAATAACTCGTTTCTTTCGGATGTATCAAACTTTTTTGTTAGCGATACGGACTTTATGTCTGATCATTTTCCGATAAATCTATCCCTCATTTATAGTAATTCAGTCATCACACATAGGACCAATTCACACAATAATTTTGATAATCCACCACGTCACTCGTTTGTTTGGAAAGATAACTTGTCTCTTTCTTACAAACTAAATATGAGGAATTCGAATAGAGCGTATTTTATTCCTGATCCAAATGATTCATTTGATAATCTTTGCGCTGCCATTCATGAAACAACTTCTGGTTTGGGTCTTGTTAGTGTAAAAGGAAACAATCCTTATCGTCCACGACGAAATAACAAACCATGGTTTGATACTGACTGTGCTGCTGCTAAAAAAAATATGCAGAAACTGCTGAAAGCCTGCAAACTCGAAAATTTTCCTTTTGACTTGAAAACTGAATATGTAACATCGAAGTCTGAATATAAAAAAATTATTAAAATGAAGAAAACACACTACGAATCGGAAATTATTACCAAGTTGTCGAATTCAACTAATTCCAAAGAATTTTGGCTTACTGTTAAACACTTCCGCAATAATTTCAACCATAAAAACTTATCCGTCCACGACTGGGAGAACTTTTACGAGAACATATATCCACCTAGAATAATTTCCATGGTGAACTTTGTAGATGTTAGTCATCCTTTCCTTGACGCTCCTTTCACTACTGCTGAGATCTATTCCGTCCTTAATAAAAGTAAAGATAGGAAGTCTCCTGGATCAGATGGTATATCTTATGAGTTCTTGAAAAATCTACCACATAACTGGGTACTGTATTTAACTCCTTTATTTAATACCATTTTTGAATCTACAATAATCCCGAATGCATGGTCTACCATAACACTCTCTATGTTACATAAGGGTGGCCCGGCAAATTCCCCGGATAACTTCAGAGGATTGGCGTTGTTAAACTGTTCTCTCAAGCTATTCACAAGCGCAATTCTCACAAGATTAACTTGCTGGGTAGATGACTGCAATATATTGCCGGAATCTCAGTCAGGTTTTCGCTCGACCAGAGGATGTATTGACAATGTCTACACCTTGACTTCTATCATCCACCTTCACATTCGACATAGGAAGCGAAAGATATATGCTATATTCGTTGACTTCAAGAGAGCTTTCGATTCTATAAACCACAGTTTACTCTGGATAAAACTATTCAATTTAGGATTATCATCAAATATCATTCGTTTATTGAAGAACTTATATTCACAGGCAACTGTTCAGATTAGAGGCTCTAACGGATACACGAAACAATATGAAGTTACAACAGGTGTGTTACAAGGTGAACCATTAAGTCCCCTGTTATTCGCACTTTTTATAGCGGATATTGAAACCTTTTTTTATGAAAATGGAGCGCAAGGTGTCAACATAGATGATAAGAATGACGTTTTAACATTGATGTATGCTGATGATCTCGTTATCTTGGCTCATTCTGAAATCGATGTTGTTAGGAAACTCAAAATTCTGGAAATATACACTACAGAAAACGACTTAACTGTCAACCTTAAGAAAACTAAAATAATGCAATTTTCTAAAGGTGGGTTTCAAAAACCAAACTTCAAATTTCACTTTGCCAGCCATGTAGTAGAAGTCACCAATAAATATAATTATTTAGGAGTAACTTTCACATCATCTGGTCTCTTTCATGAAATGTCCACTTTGACCAACACCAAAGGCAAACAAGCTATTGGTTCTATTTTGCCTATTTTGTCTAAGGCTAAAATTGATACCTGGCCACCAAAGTTAAAGTTATTCGAATCATTAACTTTAAGTGTTATGTATAACTGCGTGCCAGTTTGGGGTCTCAGATATCTTGAAGTGCTTGAAAGAGTTCAAATATCCTTTCTTAAAAGAATTCTTTTAGTTTCCACCAATACACCCGATGCCATTGTTCGCTTAGAAACTGGGAGGGTGAAACTTGCTTATAATGTGCTTAAAATATCCGTGAACTGGATTTGCAAAATACTGTCCATGGAAAAACATCGATACCCAAGGCTTTGTTTTGAACAGCAAAGGCGTATTATAAATTACGCGGACCCTAAATATAATTGGCTTTTGCAAATGAAAAATGTTTTTGTTGATTCTGACTCCTTGCTTTTATGGAATGATCTGAATTATAATAATTTATTCAAACATAGAAATACTTTATATGCTAAATATTATACATTCTTACATGACTCAGATCGTTCAATATCTTCCCGTTACCCTTTTTTGTATATTTACAATCTGCTTGGAACTTCCAGGGTACCTAGCACTTATTTACTATTGAAATTACCCATCCAAATCACCCGCACTCTTGCCCAACTACGTATGGCCAATCACTTTAAAATTAAATTCACCCTGAACGGAATTGCCTACTCCATTGACCCTGATCAAATTTGTCCAGTTTGCAACAGGAACGAAAATGAAACTCTCCTCCATATTATTTTTGATTGTCCGATCTACACTGTCATGAAACAAGGAGCTCCATGTCTAAGGAATTTGGAAACATTAATCATTGCCTTACAAAAAATAACAATCAGTGATGCTAGAATAATTTCTGAATATATTTGGAATATCCTTAAGCTAAGATCATTTATTTTGAATGAATAAACTATAATTGTATTATTTTCTTCTTCTATAACTATTGATATTCATTTTATACTTGAACTTGGTAGGTTTTAATGTTCAATCGTTTTTTTTTTATTCATTTCCAGAGTACAAACATACATATTATCCATTTTTTTTCTGTCATACACTCGTTGCTGTAAACTTGTTTGAGAAGCAATAAACTATTATTATTATTATTATTATTATTATATTCCATTACTGGACAGCGTAACGAATGATCTGAAAGACCGCCTTCCTAAAGATACATTAGTCCTGTTTGGCTTAGGTATTTTTATGCCAAAATCAGAATACACTGAGGTTGACCTGATTAATGTGAAGAAGGCAGCAGAATTCTATACTCATTATCTGGGAGTTCCTGCTCCATCGGTATCAGCTATGGATTCAAAAGTGGAGGCGAGAACTCGCAGAAAATAGTTCAAACGTGACCAGTTGTGTCCCTTCTACAATTGAAGTTTGTGACAATGATTTATATCCTAATATCAAGATTTGACTGAAAATTTTGGCAACCCTCCCCATGAGCGCCGCCACAGCAGAAAGGTCATTTTCTACTTTGAGGCGCCTGAAAACTTGGCTAAGAGGAAGAATGCCAGAAGAGAGGTTAACGGGCTTAGCTCTTTCAAATATACATCCCGAGATCTTTCCTAACGCGTTGTAAATAATCAACCGATTCTCCAAATCCAATAGAAGATTTTCTTTCAGTTTGTAACTGTTTTGTTAACTTTTCCATGAATGAATGTTTATATACAGTGTGACCCACTTCTAATAGAAACACCCCTGTATCTTACGTAATCGTTGGGTAAGGATCCTGAACTTTGCTGGAGCGAGAAATATACCAAAAATGCACTCTATGACCAAGTAAGGTCATATTCAATGATATACACTGATCGCCAACAGCCATGGAACCACCCCAATTTCCGGAAAATGATATTAGGAGTCAAAATAGGTTGAGAATCACTTCGGATTCGGAATCAGGACACCCAATTCACTAACTATTCATAGTTTCCCTGAAGAATTTTTAGTTCAGAAAAATTAAATTTTGTCTCACTTCTCATGGAGGCACCCCCGTATCTCACGTAATTATTGAGGTAGGGTTCTGAAATTTGCAGGAGGAATGGAAAGTCCAGAGATAAAGTCAATTACGTAAGATACGGGGGTGCTTCCGTGAAAAGTGCGACAAAATTAAATTTTCCAGGAAAAATATGAATAGTTAGTGAATTGCGGGCATCCTGATACCGAATATGAAGATTATTTCGACCTATTTTGACTTCTAATATCATTTTCCGGAAACTGGGGTGGTGCCATATGGCTGTTAGCGAGCAGTGCATATTACTGAAGATGACCCCACTTGGTCATAGCATTTTTTGTATATCTCTCGATCCAGCAAATTTCAGGATCCTTACACAACGATTACGTAAGATACAGGGGTGTTTCCATTAGAAGTGGGTCACACTGTATACATATATACAATACGCTATACGCTTTATGCTTTATTTGTTTTTTGTTCCGTTAGTTTGGTCAGAAGTCGAACTGGCAGGCGATCACACTTGTAATCAAGAGGTCGTGGTTTCGATTATTGAGCTTTGCGATTCTTAGCTTTGGGTTAAATTATGCTCAGTGCATGGTTTATGATATGGAATGGAGCCTAAATGTCACAGTGGTTTGATTTCCACTTCTTCAAACTGGAGATCCCGTCGCACAACCCTTTAAAGGGCTTTTGTGGGTTAGTTTAGTAGCTTATTTAAAATGAGTGATAAAATAAATGAGTTATCTGATGAGAAAATGAAAATTGTCCTCTCCTGTTTCAAGTTGACATTCCCCCAAAATGATTGGGCTGCGACCGCGCCTGAGCAGTATCATTATTATTTTGTCACTTACTTACTTTGTCATCACATTAGCGACGATAGTAAATTGTAGGAACTGCATTACACTGATCACAGTTATTGAGCAAAAAATGAATAATATCACCCATCTGTATTTTTGCAATCTGATAACTTCACCGTTGAGTTTTTGTTTCGCTTCTTCCATATCGGTATCCATAATATGCAGTTTCATATTTTATCTTGCAATCCAGGAACTGTAAAATAAATGATTATAGATATTCACGATACAAGTGTAGTCAAGTGTAATATTAATTATTATACAGTGTGGGGATCACGGCAAAGGGAGAAAATACGAATTTGGTTGTATGGGAAAACAGTTGAGCATTCAGCGGGTCATATCAACGGCCTGCTGAGATTTTCAAAATCGTTTTTAGTGTGTCAGTTACATCGAGAAGAGTGAATTTTTGAAAAATCTATCTCTTTTTTCTACTTTATTATTAGAGATACAGAAAAACACAGAATACCTTTTACCGTAGTGATAGTGATTTCTTCAGGCGACGTTTCGTATTCGTAGAACCATCATCAATTTTTTTTTTCAAATGCGGTTCCGATTATGTGTTTATGCAATCTGTGCTTTCTTTATTCTGAATTCAAGCATGTAATATACAGGCTGATTCACGGTGGATGGCACATTAGACGTTTATGGAGAACGCAACGTAGGATTATACTGAAAATTTGGTTACTTGTTACTTGAATAATCAGTTGTGCTCTATCGACCTGAAATATTTTCAGCGCTGCGACGTTTCCGCTTATATTGAAAAGTAACAACAACTTTGATTTTTTTAATTGGATGCCCTGTATATTATTCCATTTTCAGATTTTCCCTGAAATGATAATTTCATTGACCAATAACACTTGAGGTCTAGCAGTGGCAATTACGGAGATATAGGGTGTGAAAAGTCGAAATTAGCTCTTCAGGGAAAGTCTGAAAATAGAATACAGGGTATCCTATTCAAAAAATCAAAGTTATTGCTACTTTTCAATATAAGCGGCAACGTCGCAGCGCTGAGAATATTTTAAGTCGATAGAGCACAACTGATTATCCAAGGCACCAAATTTCCAGAATAATTCTACGTTACGTTCTCCAGAAACGTCTAATGTGTGCATTAGCACCGTGAATCAGCCTGAATAAGATGGTTTGAATGTGTTTCGACCTAGTTTTAGTCATCATCAATGTTTCTCAGAAATTCCATAGAGAAAATACCATCAGTTCCAATCATTTCTGATCATTCGGTGTTAAACATTGATGTAGTTATTCAATACAATTTTCGAAGGCTGTTGGTATGGAAACTGCGTATTCCGAGGGGAATGCATATTTTTTTCCATTTAACCGAATTCGTATTTCCTCCTGTTTCAGAGATCCTTATGCTACGGTCTCACATTTTGTTCATGTCAGTTTTTCTCGAAAAATTACTGATTGGCAAATGTTTTCTTTAGGAAGAAAAATGTGCCACATATCGGATATAATTGATATGATTGATGATTTCATACGAAAATTGAGTACGAACATTTATGATGATTAAATTATTATGAAGAGTATCAGAGATAACATCAAATCGAATTTGGTCATTTAACTTGTAAACCACACAGATAATAGAAAACAACATTGAAATCTGTTCAGTGGCGTACTCAGAAAAAGTTATATCAATTTTTCGATCACCAGTACTCCTAATATGTAACATCTTGTATGTCAATCAGAATAGTATGATATATTTTTTGTGCAAAATAGTCTTTTTAGTGTGTCTATAACATTTCAGAACGATATCTATAGACAATATTGAAATATACTGAAAAATAAAAAATTAAAATTCAATTCCAACGTAGCGTTTTGGCATAGACTACAGAAGAACTATTCAGTAATCTTTGGTTTTGATATACATAGGTAAGTTTAGTTCAATCATCTCAAAGTGAGGCTCAGGAGTTTGTGGTATTATTTTGTACGGACCTTTCAGGGACGACACCCTGTTAAATAGAGATGAGGCGTTAATTCGACTTGTGTATAGGCGTTTTTGGAAACTTACTCTGGGTCGCTAATTCCATCCAGAGAGGTCACGTGACGGATTACTGCAATTTGACTCGGATCACCTACCCAGATAATATAGTTCACGAACGTATTAGATAACGGACCTGAGTTGCAAGGACATAACTTAGACATAACCTAAATCTTTTGAAAAAAAACAGTACTGAGAACACCACTTGAAATTTGAAAACCAAAGAAATGCCGAACGAGGGAATCCTAGGTAGATGCGAAATATGTGGAGTCTCAAGAATGTCTCGAATAGTGCTTCTCTCTAAGCGAAAATGACACTGGAAATCTGTTGAATAAACTTTTTTATGATGAATTTGTGACACAATTATGTAAACTGTTCATTTTACAAACACGTCTTCGTTTAGGAGAGTATTTATTTATTTCACCGAAGACAACATCAAATTTGATATTTCCTCCTCCATCTCATCATCATCAGCATCAAAACAATTGTCGGAGGTTAATGCTGTTAGTGTTTGGAAGATTGCACTTTTCCTTTTATTCATGATATTATTTTTTTTTCAGCTCGAACAATACACAAATAAAATCACAGTTTAATGTTAATGGTTTAATCAAATAAGGTAAACAAAACAACATGACCAAATTTTCTTATTTGGTAATGTGCATGCGGTGCCATTGTAGACTCTCATGAACCCTGCTTTCCAGTAGGGTTACTGTAGAGTTGTCGTATTCTTAGATATTAGAATCACCCAGTATCCTAGACTATTCGATATATGTCAATAGTTCATGACATACGATAATAAGTTTTTCAATAAATGTGTCAAGTAACATTACAAGCCCTTCTAATATATCCCAGTTCTATACAATAATTGGCGACGAGGATGGGATCATTCCAACTTCAATACAAGTGATGCAAACAAACTTTCAAGCTCTTCTAGGAACCGTTCTAGAAATCGATCCAGTTCTAGAACCAGGAACCGTTCATCAAGTACCAGTTACTGCTCATCAAGTCCCAGTAACCGTCCCCGTTCTCGGCGTCAACGACCAAACTATCAGGCCCTTGGCATTGACAATATGTGTTTCCGCTGTGGAAAAAACAACCATAAAGTGGACGATTGTCGTGTAGATCGTTCAAATGTTACATGTGATCACTGTAAAAAGACAGGTCACGTGGGAAAGGTCTGTATAACAACCCTGTTAAAGAACTCACATCGTAGACCTACCAGTACCAGTTCTTCGTCTTCAGTTCAAAACGTTTGCTCAAATTTTTCATATGGACTCAACCAAATAAAACCCTTCAATGTTGTCGATTTATTCGAAATGACCCCAGAATCCGACAAATATCTAATCTCAGTGTATTTGAATGGAAAACCTCAATGGTTTGAGGTAGATTCAGGTGCAAAATTTTCACTGATAGCTGAAAATGACTTCAAGAGACTGAATTTCCAGGTGCCTCTTGAACCTTCGACTGTGGCTTTCCGATCTTACTCAGGCAATATTATCGAACCAAAAGGAAAAATAAACGTCACTGTTGAATATCGTAACAAGCAAATCCTAGGTGAATTACATATTGTACCAGAGGGTCACGATGCATTACTAGGTCGTCAATGGATACGAGGATTAGGAATTGAACTTCGACAAATTGATGCAGATAAAAAAACAGATAAAAAAATTCCAAGTCACATATCTCGTGTTCATTCTATTAGATCAACTGAAGACATATTCAATCATTCTCCTTCGATTTTTCTGGAAAAGGTTGGATGTGTGCCGCATTTCCAAGTTTCCCTTCGACTTCGTAAGGATGCCAAACCCGTCTTAGTAGAGTGCCAATCGAATCCTATCGTTCACCCCGTGGGAAATCGGAGGTAAAAAGCTGTGACATGGTTAGAAATGTTACCTACCATCTCCAGATCATGGTTCCACTTGTCGTCAAAAAATCGTCCTGTGCGTTTGGGGGGTAGGGGGTAATTTATAAAAAAATATGGATTTTTTTTTTATTCGTGGAAAATATTTATGGGTTTCAGAACTTCCACCCTGTTGAATCTTGATTTCGTGTGACAAGTAGAACAAATTATAGAAAATTTTGAAATTTACTAATTACATTACGATATATGAGAGAATCATATTTCAAACGCCTATAACTCAAAACTTGTAAATTCTCGTTAAATTGTTTTTCATATACCTCGCATTATCTCAGTAACTACAACGTTTATCAAAAAAATACTTGGAATAATGTCGATGCGCCTATGTTTCAAGATGCGAATGGTTCTTCGATTTTGAAAATCGAAGCATAAATAAGGAAGATATTGAGAAAATCATAATGCAATGCAGGTACCACGGACGATCGCGTTTCGCCGCAATCGTACCCCTATTCTCCCCGCAACACCCGCGGCTATCATGGTTCCATACGCTTTCGTTATACACATCAACATTGAGGCGTTGACCATTGCATTTAATGGTGACTTATTGTGAATTAATTATTCGATATTTGGTACTGTGTGCTCTGTTTCAATAATTAAATAAGTATTGATTAGTTAACGAAATCTATTATTGTAAATTTACCTTATTTACCATAAGATATATGTTTCCCTAGATAAAAGATGGAAAGTACTAGCAATTCAGACACTGATCTTGAATATGTCTTGAAGTTGAAGATTCCTTTCCAGCAGAGTACAGAATCATCGAGAAAATGTTTCATTTGTGGAAAAGATGGTCAACTCCTTCGTTGTACAGAATTATCGATAAAAACATTTGAAAGTTGTATGAATATAAGAAAAAACCTCGTAAAAAACTATGCGAGGCAAATCGATATGGAACTCCAGAGAATTGATGATATTTTCAATGAAAATAAAGATCGATTGATCTTCTGGCACAGGAATATTGAAAACTGGAGACAATAATGTCAGGAATAAAACGCTTTCTACAGTGAAATTGATGTGAAGGTATTTTTGATGTGTCTAAAAGAATTTTCTACCAAAAACGTTCAAATAAGAGTCAAGTTTTGACCTAGTATTGACTACCAACATTGTTGATTACCATGGAAGTCAAGTATCATAACCAATGCTTTGTATCGAATTGGAAACATTATAGAGGATCACTGAGTGAGAATAAAGTTGTCATACCACACATGACAGAGAATTTGATAATCTGATAAAATTAATAGATGGTGCAGATTTTCTAATGAAAAAGGGTATACTTTCAACTGTT